TGTAAATCTTATATACAAGCTAGAGTATAATTGGGAATTTATTGCTCCATGTTTTGAATTTGGGCAGACCTTGTCACCACTTTTGGCTATAGAATGTAGCAGAAGTAATGTTTTCTGAGTTTCAACTGTAGGCCTCAAGGACTTTGTACACTTCCTCTGTTCTCTTGGGACCCTGCCTAGATACCTTTGAGTAAGCCTGGATTAGGCTGATGGTATATGAGACATCACATGGAGCAGAGAAGGTTTGGCCTAGCTAAGGCATACTATGCCAGCCATTCCTCTATCAATGTGGCAGCTGACTTCAAAGTATGAGTGAACCTAGCTGAATATACCCAAAATTGGCATTTTGTACAAACTTAAGTTTAATAAATGGTTCTAATTTTAAACCAGTGTTTTAAGATGACTTATTATGCAGCAAAAGCTGCTGAAATATACACAAAGGCTTTATCTTTTAATGTAATACTTATCACAGTGTGCCTTTATTTTTTTTTGTTTGTTTGTTTTTTGGTTTTTCTCCGGTACCAGGAACCAAACTCATGACCTTGCGCTTGCCAGGCAAGCACTTTGCCACTGAGCTAAATCCCCAGCCCCAGTGTGCCTTGAAGCAAGTATTTGCTTTTTAACCATTTATTCTTGGAGGGCAGAAATTATGTTATATTATATTATATTGATTTGTGTATATCCATAGCACTTTAGCTTTGTACATAGTAGGGACTCAGAATTTGATGAAGTATACTGAAATGAAAATAAAATTCTGGTGTTCAAAAGCATGTCTACTTAAAGAATCAAAAACTCAGAAACTCTTGTTGGACTTGTACAATTTCCAATTATGAACCACTAAAGGCCAGCAATAATTAGTACTTGGTGTATACATACCACTTCAAGGTGTTTGACTAAGTGAGGCTGTAATTTGTTCTTCTCAAACTTTACCATTTACTCAAATTTGGATTTTGATAAAAATATACATACATTTGATTTCTACAGGTAAAACTCTATTGCAATCCTACTTTTATGAACATGTATAAAATATACAAAATGTTAAAGGAACTTTTGATTTGTACCATCTAATCACATTATGATTAATAACAGGTTTTCTGAACCCTGATATCTGACAAATGAGATGTATATATTAATATGCTCTAACTCTGAAGTGCTATTCAAATGTAAAATGTCATGAAAGCTTGTATAGTCAAATTGCATTTCATTTTTTTCATTAAGTGTATAAAAGTAGAAAATAGAACAGGTGGGAAAAAAGAATAGTTCTGCTATCCACACCTAATTTGCTTTCTAATGAAATTTTATAGATTTTTAAATGACACTCTGCTATTACAGTCTATGCAGAGATGATTTCATCAAATACTCCGTGTTTTGAATATTTTGAAAACCATCATTGAATTGATAATGCCTGAAACTCTAATGCAAGATAATATGCAAGCATGATTAGAATGATTACACCCATAAACCAGTGAGAAAAATACACCCAATGACAAGGAAAGCATATCTTTGCAGCACTGCACTGGGGCAAAGCCCCTTCCTGTATGGGTACATATCCTGTATGTTCCCTTCACTTAACTTCTTCCTTCATGTTTTTGCTTCCCATCATATACATTTATCAATGACTTATAAATGCCATAATGATTAAATCAGTTACTATAAGCTGAATAATGAAATAAGAACCTAAAAAGGATTAGGCATGCCATTACAGAATGATAAAATACTATGTTTGAAAGAAAAACATGGACCAAAGACAGCAGTCTTTGAATGGTCCATGAAATCATGATATAAGGATTAGATGAGGAATACATAACAAAGTTACATATTAAAAAGAAATCATTTATTTGAAGAAATCAATATGTGATATAACAACCATTGTTAATTTCCTATCACCTTGTCTGAATTTCAGTGTTGCTTGTATTGTTCTTGTGTTATTTTGTAAATGTATGTTTGTTAATAT